TGAAATAATTTACCTGATGAAAATCAAGCGACTGAGTATTAGTATCACCTATTACTATCTGCTTGAGTGTCACTCGTATTGATATTGATTCATTTATTGTCGCTATATGTGTGCATCCATTGTGTAATGAGGTCATCTCTTGAATGCCTGTTACTAGAAAATATTCAATCCATTGTATATACGCATCATCCATACTCTTTGTACTCTTCCACGACTCCATAATAAATGAATCCAATGACTTGTTGCCCGTAGTCCAATCGATAGGTCTCGGTGCTTTACACCGATAACAAAATGCTTTATCTGAGGTGATAGTGGATATGTACACCCCAGACATAACGCATCACCATACTCTCGTTTTATTAGACTATACTTTGTATTCCATTTATCGCATGTAAATCCGATGGTAATCCAAACATTATTGATAATAATATCTGGATGCTTATCACATAACTAATGGAATTATACATAAGTCAATATTTATTTAAATATTCAATAAACATGACGCATGAGTAAATAGTTTACCTCGGCATAATATAAATCATGTGTCTCGTCTGTTATCTCAAGTGGAATCAATTTAACTCTATAAGGAGTAGGTAGACCATACAAGTATAAGTCATATTCATCTCCCTCATCACGAATACAACCAAATGGAATCCAAATAGGCATCATCTGCAGAGTTTGTTTGTAATTGAGATTTCTTAATAAACTCACCGAGTTGGTTATCCATCTATCGGATAATCGTTTATGCCCACAAATGCACCACACAGGAGTATTCCACATACAGCGCAGAATCCATATCGAGAGTAACAATGGTAAAACCCTCTATCAGCAACCATGTAATAATTGTTGTAAACCCCTTTATGAGTTTGTTGCGCATCCTAAGCCAGGTGGAATATCTTTTAAAGTTGTTATTGTTACTATCGTGCTTGTGTGTCGGAAGTGAGTATATTTTAGCAAACTCACTCACAAGTGTTGGTGTACATGTTTCATCACTTCCAAGTGATAACAATATTATCATCGACGTTTCAAAAACTTTACCATCATCATTACTATACTCGCGAATAGCGTAATAGACTTTGTCAGTTTGAGGCGACATAGTTTGAATTAAAAAATTTTTTTTCGTAATTCTCAACACTTATCTGTCACATTGCACATGACAGCGAGGAGGCAATTACGATATCAAAGATAGACTTTTGCCGCTATCAGCAACCACCATTAATTTACAACAGCATAGTTAAATCATAAGATGGTTAACTTTTGCCGCGTTACTACCTTCAAGCAATAGAATAAATAAATAAAAAGACTCCAACCCAGCATTATATAAATAACCTACCGATTAAATTCAGACATATTAAGGGTTGTTAACTATCTTATATCTAGAGTGCTATTTGATGCTTCATTTTAATATGATCGACTTATGGTTTGATAAGGACGTCTTGTAAGAAACGATTAAGTTGTGTAGATATTGATTGCGTATCAAGTCAAGTAGTAGGCTTTTGTCGACTTGAAACAAATGTTTGAAGACATCATATCTCATCGACTACCTTTCTCCGCACACATAAGTATGCGGTAAATTTCCAAGAGTATTGGAACAACTAGAGTCGTAAACTAGCTAAACTTGGATGATTTAATCTTTTCTCATTTAAACTGTGTTCTAACGGAAAAACACACATGTGCATATTATTCAAAGTTTTTTCATCTTAATTAATCAGTCTTTTTAGTGTACTCTGACCAAATGCTATCCTCAAACAAGTACCTCATTAAGAATGATTCATTGTGGGAAGGTATTAGTTATGGGGGTGGCGAAATTTTAGTATTATCCAAGCTTTGTAATGACTTCATCTTGATACTGTATTATCCCAAACAACTATATATATTAATACTGATACACAATCTTCTACAAACTCTTTTACTTATTTTCTTTCTTAATTCTCTACTCAGGTGAAAACATTTCACAATTATATTCCCCATAAGGTTGTTTAATGAAAAATTGCCTACAGTCATGTCTCAGACAATACTTTGATGGTTGATGTCAATTCTATAGATATCAATACTTACTATGCTATTACCTGATATGTTGATGATATATTCCCATTTGTCATTTATGAGCATCCTATAACACTTCATGGAAATAGGCATGCAGACACATTACTGCATTAGACACACATTTATAATATATTCAAAGTTCAAGTGTGTTGTTATTATAGGAAGCTGAAAGCTCAATTCCTGTTACCATTGTAGGCGAGTTCTGGCTGCTCTGAATCAACACTAAACAGCACTGCAAATGAAACTTGTTTCCCCAAAATTATGCTTAAGCTGATGGAACATGGACATATTAATATGTCAGCTGATGAACAAGTAAAGAAATTGTTACATACTCAAATGCATAAGGTGATTCTGTTATCTGTGTCAATAGAAATTGTTAGTCACAGTCATGGAGAGTCTGTATTCTCAAAAGAAACATTAAACAACTATAATATATAAAATTGGAATGACAATTGTGAATTGTATAATAATAAGTATATTGGAACAAATAAGCAAGATAAACCGTCCAAAGCTTCAACTGTAATTATGATAATAAATATCTTCTGAATATCATAAAAATACATTAATAGTATTTGTGGTGATAAAAAATGTAGACTGTACTATAGGCTAATACTTGTTTCAGTTCCTGCATTGCCCTAAAAATTTAGAAATGAGTTGATGCTTGGATGATGGCACTCACTAACTGTTGCTAAATGATTGCTTCATTATATACAAGGGGGATGTTCTTGATAGATTGGATTGAAAATGACTATACAAGACAAGTTGCTATACAGTCAAACCTCGGAAACAGATACTGCCCAAAACTGATAACTCGCGAATCGATACTTTTTTTAATTCCCGTGCAATTTATATATATTCTTGGTGATGGTCATAATAAATCGAGCCCCGATAAACCAAATAAAAGTACGAAATATCAGATGTCAGTTTTAGGGTCGACTGACGATTCATCTACAGTAGTTAGTTCAGGCTCGGCTGTATTTAGTACATCAGCGGCAGTGTTGTCTACCGTAACGAGTATGTACTCATCACCCTTTTCCGGAACATTCGAATTATCGTTGGCATTGCTACTTTCATTAGTAGACGTGTTTTTTCCAAACATAGAAGAACCAATGAGGGTAGATGCTCGCTTGAAGAAAGACTCTCTCTGTATCGATTCGCGTGTTTTTGGATAGTCACTTTCATCGATTGCATGCACATAACTAGTTGGCGAAGGAACCATAGTATTCAGACTATCCCTCAACGTGGGAGAAGACTGATTGTTGTACCTATTGTCTCCAAATCTGGGTAACGCTATGCTTGATGATTGACTTCTAGAGGTCGAACGTGCTCCAGTGTTGACAACCAATTCTTTTGCCTTGGTATTTGTTGGTTTTACTGGACGTCCTTCGATGAGTCTCACTATTTCGGCGTCAACTGTGAGAGCGTAACTGAGAATAATTAGACATGTACCTTGAATTGTCCAAAATCTAACACCGTCATCTGCCTGGGAGGCATTATAATAAATGAGTGTAACACTGAGTGCAATCGCACCAGCCAATCGCAGAAAATTCCATATCAGAATTGCCGTAAACAAAGAACGCTTCTGAGGACGGCGCATATTAACCGGCATACTTTTTGCGTTATGCCTAGCTCGAGAGAGGATATAAAGAAGTCTCCCAGAAACGTAAAAGTCTATCAACAAATCACACGATATGTATGAATAAAATAGTACTCTGTCTACAATGCCAAATATTCCCATTTCACAATACGTTAGTCCTACAACAATTGGATAGGACTTGGCTTGTGGAGTAGTAATTGAAACCTCTGCAAGCTGTAGTTACGCACAAACAATGAGCATAGATTATTAATTATACAAAGATTAGCTCCAAATAAAGATTACTTACTTGAGTTAATGCTCTCACAATAAGAAGAAACCCTCCAATCCACAAGTCATAACTTTTCCTTTCGATTAATCTCAGTCTCCAAAGGAGAAACAGCCCAAGAGAAGTTTGCATAAAAAAATTTCCAATGATCGAAGGATATATTATTCCTTTACATGTGGGCGTGTCCACGTCAAATGGAACTACGGCGATTGCCGCAACAAAGCATACCCTTACGAGACCGGCCAGATTAAAAACTAATTTCGTGAGAATAGTAAGATTTTTTTTCTGACAAAAGTCATAGATAGACCTAACTGCATTATTAGTAAACATCTGTTTGGATGAAGAAGAAAGGTCAGATACTTGATCTTTTGTCGACATTCATTATATAAACATTCTTTATCAATTTAAATATACAATCTTACCAGTGCTAACGCTCCAAGTATGAAAACTTGGTATGCGAGTGAGGCACGGGTTTTATGAGTCTCGGTTATTTTTAAGTCTGACATCGTAAATGAATTTGCTATTTAAAATGTTTAAACTTCGTGAATGTTGGTAATTAGACGAATAATTCAGATTCATTGAATTAAATCTGGGGTCCTATGTGCAAGCATAGACCGACTATTTAAAGAAAATTAGTTCCAACTGATAAGATTAGTTGTGTTGCAAAACAGAATACGCAACCCATACTTCGGGATTACAACTCCAATTACATAAAAGGAACCGGAAAAATTAAACTGTGTCCTTGATCACGTAGCAAACTTTGTGTATGCTCGATGCAAAAGAAAGATTGTATTCATGTAACACATATGAACATTGATATTTGAATAAACCCAATAGACCATTAGTGGCGCAGAGTTAAACTATTGTTAGTAGCAAATTATCAAACGACTATGCTATGTACATCCGTCACATAGGGTACAATGTAATTGTCCGCAATCTCACGTATTACCGATTATTCCCAAAACTTGTATTAGGACGTGGTTACATTGCGCCAATGTAATAGAATTAACTTGTTTGGGCGTTCACCAAAAATCAAATAGCCCATATTATTTGCATGACAGCGTCGTGGTCTGACCCGAGGTTGGCTTATTAAGATATGTCTGGTTGGACAACGATAAGGATACAACTTGGGGTCCCGGAGTATGAACAAACCTTTGATTCAAATCTATTCATAGTTTTCACAGCTATTATCGATACAAGCATTACATTATCATGAGTAACTGAATTGTCCTACAGCAATAATATGCTGTACGTAAGCTAATAATTGTTATAGTCGCACACTCTAACCACCATTCATTTTCGCAAAAAGATACAAATTGTTCTGTTATTGCAATGATAGGAAAATAAAACACTTATACATACCATACAAACCCACCATTTTAGCGCATTGGTACCAATAATATCTTGCTTTGAGTATTACTCACAAAATAGGATAAATGAAATGAGACCGTGTTTGATATTTTAGGATCAAAAACGGGGCCAAAATAAGCCACATTTGCTCACACGACCCAGTTCTGTCTTGAATGGTGGGTCACTTATTCATCATTAGTAAAAAACTTGATTTCATTCATGTTTCGCTGTAACGTAATAAAGATGAGCGAATCATACAAGGTCCAATACTAGAAGCAGTATCACAGCAGTTGCCGATTGGTTGGCGTTGATAAACCTTATTTGGGCTATGTCGATCGGATACGAGTTTTCGGAGATGACGATTTTCCCCAGCAATTTCATAACATAAGAGAATGAAAACTGATGATCAAAGTATTTCATTAACTCCAGAGCTTTGTAGAATTCTGTCAGTACTGCTCGAAACCTGACGAAATATAGAGTAATTTACACTACTCGTAAAGGGTCCTCACTGATGTGATAAGGAACGTCGTCATGCATCATTGATCTACCTTGGAAATATGATAAACTTAATATTTGAGTGTACGGCGGATTGATTGTTTGGGATTCCAAACCTTATCCTAAAGATATGTTTGATAATGTAACGTAACATACTTTCCATATTACAATTGAGGCCCACCTGATTAGATATTCACAACACAATAGAAAGTTTCTACACACTTAAAATTGTGTCAAGGCAAGTTTGTGTGTGGGGGGACCGAAGTCGCGATATCCAGTTTTACGTCGTCAGCTATCATAGCCCTGCTCTGGTAAAAGATTTTTGACTACGAATGAAAGGAAAGCTCCGAACGGGCAATAGACTAGTGAAAAAGCTTGCTAACTTATCGTTAATATTTATATGATAAACTTAGCAATCCACCAGTCCAGTCTGCAATAAATAATAAAGGCAGGATGATCCGAACCCCAAACGCTTTAAGCGCTCAGGAGAATATTGCAACTTGGTTATTGACCATGGCTAATCCAGCGGCACGTGATCGAAATTTCTGAGATTAATACAATACTTACTTCATTTTTCAATTAAAACCAATGTCCACAACCCTATCCATAAGCATAGGCCAAACTTTGCGCTCCATTCAGTGGCTCCGTCCTGATGTTCATACGTTTTATATTCTCTCTTCCTCTCACGATAATACAAGTAGGTATACCTAGAATGCAGATATAGGCCCTGTAAAGTTAAACGAATGAGTAACGTTGACTTGTAATGTATTTACAGAAAAATACATGCCGTCCGAAGTTTCTCCTTCTTAATTACATACTTTATTGATATTGATTCATCGTATAAAGGTATTAGTCATGGCGGTGATTTTTAATATTATCAAAGCTTTGTAATGATTAGGAGGAGGATAATAATTCACTGAATGTAATATTATTCATTACCCAACGTATATTATTACTGATACACAATATCTTACAAACCTTTTCTCACTCATAAAGTAGCTCATGCTTTAATGGAAATTGCCTACAGTCGTGTCCCAGATGGTGTCAATATAGATATCAATATTTACCTGATATGTCAATGATGTATTCCCAATGCTATTATAACATGCCAGAAGTGATAGGTTATGCATTGAGATAATCATGGAGATAAAATGAAGATATCTGTATAATTGATCTTTCATATATCAATGGTTGGCATTCAACATATCTCCTCTTGGTGCTTTTAGACTTACAATTAAAGAGTCTGAAAAGAATGGCCCAACATATAAAATTCTACAATCACATTAACCATGTTCAGGCGCTTTCGAGAAGTACGTAGAAGCTTGTGGCATATTTGACGTGTTTATGCACAAATTTTGGAGTACATTTTTATCGGTCAAAAAAGTTTATTTCCTTGGGTTAATGGGGAGCGAGCTTCGGTTACATCAAAACTTCGGAATAACAGGTAAATTTGCTATGGCTGTGTCTGGAAAATTCCGGATAGCGGTTAATTCAGTACTCTTTGGTATATCGCTACAACGGGATTTGTCATAAAGGGAGTTGCTATAACGGGAGTTTTGTATATACAGACATTTGAAGTTAGGCATTGACATTGAATACAAGGCAAGACATATGCGATTTAAAAGTGTCAGTAACTGTTTATCAACGTCAGTATTAGAACGACAGATTTGCCGCTCGGTTCGAAGCACCGATGTATGATTCTTATTTATTAGACTTTATTACTGATTGTACGTTATTTTGTGTAGATTAATCATAAATTGAACAGAAAATCCAGTTAACAAAAATAAGGCAATATTGACTATTTTATAATTCCTTTATCCGCCTGATGCTCTTTGAGGTTTACTAATTAAGAATTTGTTCAATATAAAAAACAATCAGATACAGTGTGTTACGAAAAATAAAAGCTTTTCGAACGCGTATTGCTATGCAGTATAAACTATTTTGTTTCACGGTTTTGATGTTTTGATGTAAACACATATGGTTGTTTTTAAACTGTCGATCACAAAATATTTCGATCAAGTTGAATATACCAAATAGTTAAGCTCTAAATCTCATAGAAAATTTATAACATTTGGCCAAAACAATGTATAAAAAGTATGTCCAAAAAACTGTGAATAGTGCGGTTCTAATCGAAGAATGAAATTCTATTTATAAAGTGTTAATTAATTTAGTAAAATCGATAAGTTAATTATGGGATATATTTGAAAAAAAAAATACTCTGTTGACTTTGTGGCAATAAAACCTCTGTTCATAAGCCATTAAATAAGTATAAGCCCATTCATTGCTTTAACCTCGCAGCACAACAATCAATGGTTCTTTTTTTTGTAACACGCTGTATATGAATCGTATAATTCGATCTTGACAATTATTAGATGCTTACAACATCTAAAAAATAATGAAATTAATTCTAAAAACTAGACATTATTGGAATGCGGACATTTCTTCTATAATGTTGATGTTGTCATTGTATGACATTATTTGAATTATGGCTTAATAACGTATAGATTATTGTAACACCCATCAAACGGATATTCTCTTGTACGGTTAGGGAATTATATAGCATTAGTAAGCGCACAAAAATCTAAAATCTCTTTACGAAGTAATAAGACAAGACTGAAGTAGAATGCTTCATGTACATGCTATGATTATAATTCCGATCTGCCATAATAATGCGCGATAGTAAACATTACCATGTGACTAATACGTTATCAGAATTTATCGTATCACAATCATCGAATTTAACCCTACGTCTAAACGAGAACAAAAAGAATGGTGAGCTGAAACTCAATTGAGAGCTTGCAACTTATTAAAGAGCGCACTAATGACAGTAAATTGGTCACACATTAGAAAAAATTTTCCCTATGAAAATTTTGTGACTGCGTACCAATAAAATATATCTTTCGTTTTATGACAAGTCACATAAAAACGTTCCGCGCGGAAGACATAGTAATAGAAAAAGACGCCAACAATGTGTACGCACAAGACCATCATCTGTCTGTAGTACGATGAATTAGTGTTTAATGTGAATTCATTATTCAGTGTAACATACTTAACAAGGGGAATTAAAATTGTTCATAAACTCTTTTATTTGCACGAGTACGATCAGTTGCACAATACGTACGGACAATAGAATTTTTAGCAAAGGCCACTGATACATGTTGAAATACAACAAAAAGGATTGGGATCTAGACTCTTATTTGATACAGTTATAATCGACCAATTAGTAATAAATAATATTACCGAATCATCATTAAAATCGATGTAAAGAATTCAGCTTCATACATATTGTCTCGTTTTTAATAAAAAAAACCGCGGATTAGTTAACGAATCACCTTAAGTAATACTTTTACAGAGTATCCTCAGTAGAATTCAATTAGCGTAATAAGCTGACAAATGTTTGTAACAATAGAAATCATTCAAGCAACCGTTGATCCTTTGTTAACGGGACGACTAACAAGACTCTTCATATGACAGTTTTATTAAAACAAGCAATTTCTGGTCATGTGAGCCTGTGCACTACAACAAACATCAATCATACTAATGTCCATCAACGTTTTACTTTTGCAATGTGAAATTCTAACTTGATTTGGGCTAACAACGTGGATGTTAAATCTCTATTGGCTCAAGGACGGATAAAGTTGCCTACTAATTTAACTTAATTTGAAAAAAAAAAAAACTAAAATTCTGCACTTTAATTTTCAGGTACCTTTATTACAACGTTGTTCCATGCACATTTAATGCAGAACAGGTTGCAACTCTTTGTTACATGAAAGAATAAGGACTATCAAAATGGCGGTTAATTGTCTGGTTACACAAGATGGGATTTTTGCGTAGGCATTTTTCTTTACATATCTTGGTAGTTTTTACCTCAAGTACATTATCGTTATAGTTTAAAGTTGATTAATATAGTAATAGGGGCTGAAACCCATAATTTGTGCAGATCATTTGTTGTCATACCAGATGAATAGAAAATATCATCTCTCGTTGGTAGATAGCAAATTTGGGGTCCACCTTGAGAGGGAGGGATCATCACTGTCGAAAAAGAACCTCCTTGTGATCATGACCGCCCATCATGCATTGAGCGCTATTTTGATCCAGTCCCCATATATTGTTAATACGACACTAATGGTTCATCATGCCCAGCAATTAAGACAATGATGCAGAAAAAAACTAGCTTGCCAAGGCATTATCTTGGAAAGAAATATTGTCGCAAAATGACGACTAATATTGCGAATTTTTGTGAGGTGAATCAATGCGCCAGCAGTTAATATATTTATATTAGCACAATAATAAAGCTTTTTTTTTGTACAATCACATGGACGTTATTGATTTTTTTTTTTCAATATAGTATGCCGTATATATATATACACCAAGAATGGTTCTTCAAGCATCCCGGCGGCTTATGTTGAATGTTGAATATCTATCAGCCCATAAGGTCATAAAAATGCGTTTATAAGCTTATTGATAATAGTTGTTCATGTATGCGGTTCTTTACGGTAAGAGTGTTTGTTAGAATTATCCATATTACTAGCATCAAAGTTATTGCTAACACTAATGCGTAATTAGAAAAAAACTCACATCTAATAATAACGCCCGAGATGTTTTTTCTCCAAATAAGATGCAACTTCTTGCAGGTAATGCGATCAAGACAACTCTCCCAAGTGCGAGGTAAGTAAAAAACATAAATATTATTATTAATGAGACCGGCAAATTTATTTTTAAATCAGCTTGTTATTGTTATGGTTTGCAGGTAGAAACAATGAAATGATAACCGGAGACACTAGGAAGGAATAGCATTGCTTACCATCTGTTAGAAGGTTCTTACCCTGCACCTTTAATTGAGCGTGTTATCGTGGCAAATTTGTCATAAGTTATGTTTATGTCATATAAATTGATTTCCGTGAATATGAAAGATCATATTAAACATCAAGAAATAAGAAATATTGTCTTTAAAGTTTAGCATACAAACTAGTAATTGGCTTCCAACTTTGGAGTATCAGAGTTCATTGTATTGCGATGTTTCCCTTCGTGCAGAAAAAGACATCGGAAATAGCATTCCGTGTTGTTAATTTGTATAGTCAAGTGGGTAATTGGAAGTCTTCTTAAAGGGTGTGCTCTAACTCTTATTGAACGGTTGATTCAGCAGGCTTTTTTCAGTGAACGAATAATAGTCTTTAATTCTGCTTAGTTTCGTGTGACCAAATTGGCTGTAATATGCGTGTTATTGAGAATTAACGTAACTGAGAGCATATGTACGTATGGAAAACTTTAGCTTTCTAAACCAATCTTTTGAATTTCTAATATAATCATCATCAAATTTGCTATTTATTATTGAGATTGAAAATCGTGTCATTGACGTAACGGATAAAGTTAAAACAAAATACATTTATTCGCATTCAATTAAATACATTACCCTGAACATAAGAGCATTGGTACTTTGAACAACGAGTTATTTCCTATCACACTTGACCGTCTTCATCCACTTCAGGTGGTGCACCCGTTGTATTATTATGGAATGTCGACATACAATATTCTTTTAAGTGAGCATGTTGATTTCCGACTGTGAATTAATCTTATCACATGATGATTGTGATATCGTGACTGATATATTTAAAAAAGCTCGTGATTGTATGCGCCTCAGCCCAATACGCAAAAATTGGCTAGACTATGGGAAGCTGATTATTAACTGTGTCACCTGAAATTTGAATGAAAATAACAATAAAGCAGATATGCAAAGACATCTACTTCCTATGACATACAGCATTACACTATACTATTACAAGTATGTAATCTCTAATATTAATTTCTTTGTGAAAAAAAAAGGACACACATATGATTATGATCGATTTTTTGTCGACACGTTTCTTATTATTAATTGTTTATCGGGACTCATGCATGTTCGTTCACAAACAAAAGCAAGCACAAATAGTTTAAGCCTATTATATCCAATTGTTTCTGATGTCATGTTTGAATGTGTGAAGTTGTACAATTGGAACAGTTCACTAAAAATAATAACTAAAAACGGTTGACGACAAGAAAAACCGTTGATTACGATTATAAGAAGTCTTTTTATACGAAAATATGTACCATTACATTACGGCTATGCATTATCATTATCTGCTAAACTTGAGGTTGATTAAATATGTCTTCTCTGAATAATCATAGAAGTAGGGACAGCCTGGGCATTATAAGACAACAATAAAAAAATCGAGTCAAAGAAAGTTCTCAAACTTATGTATCGTAGATCGTATGGCGAGAAAAAAATTTTTTATTGTACACAGTGAACTCGATATAACGGATATCGCTTAATACGTAGATAATTGTCTCTATATACCAATGACGGATGGGTGCTAAACAAAAATACTATATGCCAATTCTATCAAAATATACTTGATATAGCGGATATCATTATTATAACGGAGTCCCATCATAAAAAATTCTAATCAGCCAATCAAATTGTACCAATTTGATTAATTTATGATCACATGGCTGATGAAGAAAGTACGACTGTAGATGATATCGTAGAAGTGATGAACGAACAGGACAGATGTAAATCAGAAGAATAGAGGTTAAAATCAATGATGCAATTGTAGGACTCGATAATGTAGTAAATATATACAACAAACAATCTCATCCTTAATGAAGGATTTGCATGGTCTTAAAAGGTTTATTATAATACAAGTATTGAAAATAAAAAGCAAGCCACGCTAGAAAGCTTATCTATTTTATCGTTGATTGACCTCCCTCGTATAATAACCATACTTTTTTCAATAATTGATTATAATTATCCGAATCTCTAATGGATAAGAGAACATTCTATGGTACACCTGAAGCATAGCACTAACAGTAAAATTCACTTGTATAGATGTGAATTAATGCTTATGGTATAGTTCAAATCTAGCAACATAATAATTGTAAGGCCTTCATAATTTAAGTTAACAAATATTAATTAAAGATCGCCCAACAAAGCTGCAAATTACTTGATATAACGGAGTACTACATGGTTTGTTACGATATCTGGTAAGAAGGCACCCCGAATAGTATAAAATTCTTTCCGCGCGTTGAGAAGTAATTTCACGGTAACCCGAATATTCAAACCTGTTATCGAATTATCAAATTATAATACTAAAATTGGGATTGTAAAGGTTAGTTTTATTATTTCAAAACCATAATTTAGAAGCAAATATTTGTTGTAAAGTTTTGATCGCATATTAGCCGATATAGAAGCTTTGCCTGTACGGTTTACATGTAAATCGATGCACAAGTTGCATATTGTCGTGCAGACACGCGTAAAATAAGTTATGCAGTACATCTAAGTTTAATGTTTTAATCCATTTACTTGTTTTATCTAATCTGCTAAAAAATACTACCGAGAAAAAAAATCTAACCGTAGCAATATTAAATATCTGTGACCAGAGATATTGTTATGTGCGGGATATTATTATACTACGTAAAACATAACGACGCAATTAGTTGTAACAAAAAGCTGATACGTAATAATTTTATTTATTTAAAAAAATTGAATTAAATTACTGGTGATGCGCTCGATCTAAACATGTATGATGACAGATATGATATCAAACCGCCGATAAAATAACAGCTTTAGTATCCAAGTTAACTAGTTTCGAAACTTTTTAACCTACTTCAGACTGGGTAATCGGTTTCTGTTACAATTCATTTTAGATATTACATACTTAATTAACTGTTTTTAATTATCCGTACTAAGCAAAATAGTAATGACGCAATTGCAACCAAAGTTTGAGTAATTAATTTTAATAAAATTAATTATTAATAGAAACTTGTCTCCATTTACTGTAATAGAAACCTGCAATTTTAACATGGTACTTTCGCGGCCATCTTTTTAACAAAATGAGTATCGCTTGTCGAATTCTTACCAGTGAATGAATATTTACAAGTTTCTGTGAATTATTGTAACTCCTCAAGTCGTTTGGCATATATCCCATAGCCGTTTGCACATCTACAAGAAAAATCGTTTGTCAAGAAACTTGGAAAAAAAAATCGACATAAGTAAATCCAATAATAAAATAAGCAGTGAAATATTTTTAAAACAATTCTTTGTTTTTATTTTATTTTTCGGTTTCTCTTTACAAATCATCGCATCTTGCAAACTTGGTTTACAAAGTGTTTCGCATTTTAGCATCTATACTAAAATAAAGCTATTAGTTTCTCGTAAAGCTACAAGAAAGGTAAATAAAATAAAAACAAAGAAAATCAGTAATTCTGATCGGATAAAAAGCCCTTTCTAGAACAACTGGATCAATTCGGAAAACCATCTATTATTAGATAGTCATCCAAGTCATTTGCAAAACCATTTTATCTATATACATTATGTATTTTATGATTCTGTTAAGACTACTCTTAAATACATTTGTCTAAAGAAAAAGCACTATAAACAAAAGTCTACAGACATTAACAAAAACCGAGTAACTAAAACGTACAAACACTATAAAGATAGATAAGTCTACGCTAGTGTTCAGTAAATCTCCCCCCACCATCTTCTATTACTTCTTCAACCACCCGAGAAGAAATCGCAAGCAATCCGAGGAGGAAGTCCTTGTAAACATGGCCCCTCCTCATAACTTTCCCCAACAGCCGGCCGGGTCCTTGAGTTAATGTTCCCCCCTTCAAACTGCAGAGGGTAAATAAGACGTGCGAATTGCACCGTCTGGATAAATCTTTTCAACGTTAACGTCAAAAAGAAAGAAAACCATGCCGAAGGACAAAAGAAGGCTAATAGCCCCGTAAAGCTTCCTGCTTTCGCAGATTTGCCGGCAGTTGCCATTGTAAGTATGGCAGGAGAGAAGCAAAGAATTCTCAGACACGTGCCCGAGTTGCTCAAAAGTGGAGAGGAGCAAAGCCGTCGTATTCCCGAGGTGGAAGAAGCAAAAGCGTCGACGCAAGATTTATTCGACAAAGGCAGGGAAGTATGGCATAGTTGATATTGGTTTAGGTTATTATGTAAACCCATTTTTATTGTGAGTATTTATTTGCGCAGCACTCAGTGTGCGTTGGGATTTTTATTTTTTTTTTCGAAATGGGAGCAGGACAGACCGCTGTTTTATAGAAAAATGCTTAGATTTACATCGATAGTTCCTAGAAATGTACACACAATCACACAATTTGCTGCTTTGCATTAATAATAATAATTATACTTTCAATAATGGATGTATAAATTTAAAAAAGAATAAAAGAATAAAAGAAAAAAGAAGACGCTTTTGGAATGTAGGGAACTTGATAACGGAATTATAAAATGTAGTATTTGTCTCTATTGTATTCTTTTCGAAACGAAAGTATGTATAAGTATGGAAGAAGTTTATGTACTGTGGCTGTTGTTGATTGACTTGCACAAATGAGTGCTCGAGTAACCAACAAACGATAATGATTGTACAAGCTATTGTCCTGATCGTTATCTTATACAACAGCCACAAAATCTGTAGTCTATTATCCGAACAATCTCTACATTATTAGTCAGTAAATGTGGCTGATTACGAAATGGGGAATAAAGGTAATTCTTTTGCGATCCATGGAACTCTATTTTGCTCTGCCGATAGCGAAATACGCAAGACCGGTCGTTTGTTCATTTGCACAAAAAGACCGTGTGTAACAATAGGTGCGGGAAAATATGGGAGTTTTTGGACGCATTTCTTAAAGAATTATTCAGTTTCAAAATGCCGAATAAGATGGTCATTATATAATGAAAGTACAGCGCCCGCCATTCAAATACAAATGAAGATATGCACAAGACCACACAACAACAATAACAATAGTAATAATAGTAATAATAATAATAACAGTAATAATAATAACAGTAGTAATAATAATAATAGTAATAATAGTAATAATACACCCCCCAACATAATACGCCGTTGTATTGCTTAGAATACCGTATACTTTCGGTACTATATTAAAACTGTCTTATTTTATTGCATGCGCATAAAACAAACACATAATCGCTCTGTCTACGATTCTTCTACATTATTAAGACTAGTTCCGGATTATTTCCCATTAAAATTATCACACATTCTGCATATCTTATTCTGCAGTTTTAGAACACGCGCGTTATCGCTTATGAGAGTCTGCTTAATAAGGGATTGGACGCTATTAATAACCGTTGATATACAAACCGAGTAGCTGATTTTCAGGGGGTGAATCTCGATCTCCGTTTACTTTAAATCTTATTAACTGTCAATATACATCGCCCGATTGACATTCCCTGCAAATGAGTTGTGCTAATCTCGAAAAGTTGATCTTGTTGAGTCCTTTCGGGTTTATGCACTTTCTATAAAGAGTATTCATATTTTTGGTGCACTCCTTATAACAGCGTCGATTAATTCTCATTCGCGTTTCAGCAAAATAATCGAGCTAGTCGATTATATCTTCCGCAGAACGTACCTCCATTTGAAACAATGGACCCGATCATCCGAAAGTCCGACATGCAGAACGGAAAACCCTTCATGTGATGTTGGTTTTTTGTCATACGGTTTTTGGACTTGTGTAACTCAGCTGATCACTATTCCATTACTGAATATCCCTTGCTCGCCATATTTACTTAAAAAACTCTTCTCCACCTTTGAAATGTCCACTCCGTCAATTCCGTACATACATACGCATTGCATCTTGTGAGCAGAACGAGTTTATTTTGGAATGTTGGCACTTGAATCGGGGACAAATTTGTAGCAACAATGGAAAAAGGTATAACGCCACAATTAAATTCGAATCTCGTTAAGCCACAGCTGCACACCTATACAAAAATAGTTTAAACTTCCCCGTCTTACCTTATTTGATTTGTATTTCGGAACAGTAAGTTCGACAAGGTGACTATAATTATATCGCAGACATTCATAATACAAACGCAGTATGCTTACTCCAGTTGTATTTTTGCCACAACATCGACATTTAATTCGGCAATTTTTAGGAGGAAGAAAATGCCTCACAGTATATCGCTTACTCGTTTTAGTATCAAATTTGTCACACAACTTGCTTTTAGTGAAACATGTTCATGTAAGACAGATGAAAGGCACGGGCCGCAGTGAACGGGCAAGGATCCATTTTCGTAATAAGCCACCCCTTGCAGATAAATATTAACAATCATGAACAATAGTTGTGCATCATTATATCATAGAATGTTACGTTAAGCGAAATATTTGTCAGCAAATCGCCAATGAACAACTGGAATCTTGGCTTGGGAAAAAGATTGACTGATTTCATAATGTCTATTTCACAGTGTAATCAAAATAGCAATACAGAAACACCAGATATAATGAATTGCCTTATTTATATAACCATGAAGCATCTACTATATACACCAAGATATTTAAATGATAAATCACTAACGCTTTGGCGAATATAACCGTGAAATCTTGTGCCATACAACGGTGGTTGATTTGCACCAGTGAAGATTTCCTCAATTCTACCCAACATATTCTTTCTTGCTAATTAACAAAATGTCTTTGCACTATAAAAAACTACGTCGTCAGAAACGTTTATTCATATCTTACAATATATACGCCGTCGGTCTTGCTTCTTACATCTCGGGTATACGCCAACGGCAACGGCTTTGGTTTCTCCCACCCGCGCTGACCAGTCCCCCGTCAACCTCGAGTATACGAACGAATAAACTCTTTCACCAATGGAAAAGCTCATGGAAGAGAGTACCTTAACAAAAACTGTTAGACGTGGTAAAATAAAGTTTATAATGGCTTAATTGTTTGACTGGCTAGTTCAGTTTACTAGTTCAGCTTCAACCGGGCAGCAGAGAAAAAGGAAATATACACAGTGCATCTCCGATTGCTTACAATTCAGCCTGCTTTTCTTAAAATTGCGAAGATTTGGCTGGCAAAATATTCACATGGACACTTATTGGATCAAGTAAAATTTAAAATCTTTAATTTTGCCGACAAACATAAAATTCAAAAGTATTAAATTTTATAAATAACAAAATTTTTATTAAAATTTGTGCTTAGAGCTAATTAAAATATTTGACATAAAAATTCTAAATAGATCAAGTTTTTAGTATGCGATATGAGTAGCCTTAACAAAATCGTAAAAGGCTCTAATTTAAAGCAATGACTAGATTCATAAATTAAAATCAAGTATGCAAATTAACTAGATATTATCAAATCTTTTTATTTTTAACAAAAAGGGTTTAAAATTTTATGATTATAAAAATTTTTAAAAGTTAAATCGACTAAAATAGAAAAAATTTAAAAAGTAGAAACAAATGAAATTAAAATTAAAATCATTGTAAGAATGTGAACGCAAAGTTAAGTATAGAATGTTGTATGTAAATCCCGTCACTATGTAAATCCGGTTTTTGGGGACGGGTTTTAGGACCCCAAACGGGATTTACATAGTGACGGGATTTACATACGACATAAAATACGAATAAAGAACAAACACAATAATATAAAAAATTAATAATACGTTTGTCATAATAATAACGTATTATTAATTGTAAACTTATTCCTCGATTTAGATTTGGAGTAGCCCCTTTTATATACATTGGCTCCTATAATGTTTGTTTATGTAATCAATAACCAACAAAGCGCTTACTAGATTGATTGTCAGCTGTAAAAAGGCAGAAATAGTAACTACGTTTGTTTATAATAGGTTATCGCTATTTTGGCCAACGACCATTTATATATAATCCCTGTCACATATTCCGTTTTGGACTCGACAAATACAACCTTCCCCAAACCTCGACCGTACAGAATTATTTCATATGGATGGGCGAAGAATATTCCCTAAATGGTTATTGGACATATTGAAGATTACTGTGATTGGATCTACGCACGTGGAAATAACTAAAGAATTAAACCGTCGTTCTTAGATGAGCATCTCATTCTCAACCGGCACAGAGATTTTGCTAAGTGCATTGGAGTGTGAAAAACATCCAGTAGCAAACATACCCTAATCTTTATACATTTTTACTATTGAATCCATGTTATGGACTACCGGGTTGATCCGTGTCTTTCTGCAACTCGGGCTTATATACTTTAATCTATAGACTCAACGCTCAATGCTCAATATGTTTGGGGGGAAGCTTGCAAAAGAACGTTGTTAGCGCCATTTGTCATTTAATTTGTATGAAATGTTAATTCATAATGGATAGGTTTAATTAAAGCATATTATGTACGTTGAATTAGAGGGAGCATTTTTGTGAGAGAGTTGACTAGGATTGGGTTTGATTTAAAAGTTTGGGAGTGTGTATTAAGAAAAGACTACGTTTTGATCCGGCATCATATCCTTTGGTCTTTGTCAATATCGAATGATCAGGCACTGATTATCGTGTCTGTCTGCATCGTATTCAATCAAAACTTAAAACGTTGCTGGGATTACTGGAGATTCTTCGGGTAGGTTGCATGCAATAATTTAATTTTCACAAAGGGGTCACTATATTCCTCATCACATTGTTATGGTTTATCAACTTGGTAAATCCAAGATCCATCGATGATTATCGTCTACCGCTGACGTTACATGCAAGCATCCGCAACCACGGATATCAAGCAAACGACCGAGGTCAGAAACATCAAAAGAAGAAGGATTATCCCAAATGGGGCAAGGTACGTGTTTGGTGGTAACCTTGGAATCGGCGATGTTATTTGATTACAATGTTAAACTAATCATGCTTACACACTCTATGTATACTTATGTAACCGCTATTAGGCTTATTGATTAGCCGAGAATCATTAAGAAGCCGGATAGTATGCATATCATCAGATCGAACATGCATATATGGGGACAATGGACGCATTTACATAATACCTGGGTAAGATTTTATTGGGCGAACAGAGCGTGATGAATGGGCTTCTTCCCTTACTTTCCAAAAAAAGGAAGATACATATTCCCACTCTCCACAAGTAATGAATCATCTCGACCCCACCGCCCGAATTGGTCTTCTCGCGAGCATGCCATAATTACATAACAACAGACCAGGGTT